GACACTGGTTCACTGATTTATCATTGTGCCCCTAAGTGGGGTCCCTCCCAGAAAGTCAGAGTCTGGTGGGAAGTAGGGACTTAGAAGCAGGAACCTTGAGGGTTCCTGTGATGGAGGAGACTCAGGCTGCCCCTGCCCTGGAAGGACAATGCAAATGAGGAGATGTCAATGCTGTGGCCTAGGAGGGCTTCCTGGAGGAGGCATGTCTACTTCACAGGTGACATAGGGTGTAAGGACAAACAGGGGTGGCTCTGTGATGAGGGGTGGAAGGGCATTCCGGGAAGGAGGAACAGAGTGCAGAGGTGACCCAGGCGTGAGCCAGTTCAGGGAAAAGTGAATAGCTCTGGAGGAGAAGCAGGTATGAGTAGAGTCAGGTGGGGAGTGGAGTTCAGAGACAGGACCCAGTAGAAATATCAAGATTTGTTTTATAACCTTAGAGTAGAAAAATCAGAACCCATCAAAGGGCTTAATAAATGCAATGACAAAAAGAAATAGCTCCCCAGGGTGGCGCCTATGGCTCAGTGAGTAGGGCACTGGCCCCATATACTGAGGGTAGCAGTTTTGAACCTGGCCCTGGTCAAACTGCAACAAAAAATCCCCAGGCCTGGTGGGTGCCTGTAGTCCCAGCTATTTGGGAAGCTGAAGCAAGAGAATCGCCTAAGCCCAAGAGCTGGAGGTTGCTGTGAGCTGTGATGCCATGACACTCTACCAAGGGTGACAAAGTAAGATTCTTATCTCTAAAAAAAAAAAAAAGAAGAAGAAGAAGAAAGAAAGAGAAAGAAATAGCTCCCTGCACTTTGTAAAAATTACCTCCATGGAAGGAAAATGCCACCTGCCATCAGAAAATGAGTCTACAATTCAGATCTCTGATAAACACTAATTTCTCAAACTGAAAAGAGCTCCCAGGAATAAACAATAGCAGTCAAGTCACTGTGGAAAGTTGAGCCAGGACTATGAACAGGCAGTTCACAGAATAAAATAAATACAAATGTGTCCTTGTCTTAGAAAAAAGAAGACAGTGTCACTCATAATGTGGGAAATCCTCATTAAAAGGACATGCAGATCCCAACTTTCACCTGCTATTGGCAAAGATCCACATGTTTCCACCCACACTGGGTTGGTGCAGCCGGGGAGACTGACACACTCACACTCACTGGGGAAATCTGGACTTGTTTATCAGGGATGGGAAAAGCTTGGGCCTATTTCTCAATATTACACCCAGCTATTATGAATATAGGAAATTGTCCCACAGAAGCACAAGCCCATTTGTGAAAGGATATACAAGATTATTCATCGTTGGTAGAATAAAATTAGTGCCTTGATGTTTTACTAAAGTAATGTGTCCTATCCCAGAGATCACTGTGCAAAGGAATCACCCACAGTCCTGGAGAATGAGGACAGTCTGTGCTACTGGTATCAAACTACCTCTGATGGCCATCAGGTAAACAGACCGAGGCTCAGGACAGACTGTGGAGAAACAGGTGGGTTCTGGGGAGGGGGTGGGCACCTGAGGACAGACCCTGTGTGTGTTTTGAGCTTTTGCCCATGTGACCTTATCACCCATCTAGAAGTACATAAAACTATCACAAAAAATAAAAAGATGAGGCTGAAAGAATATTCAGGAAACAGATGAGAAGATGCCTTGAAGCCAACTCTGCCTGTCAATGTTGTCCTGTCCTTGCTGTGGGCCGAGATAGTCATGGAGGAGTCTGAGGGGAGGGAGGGGTCAAAGGGTCTAAAGGTGAGAAGGGACCCTGGGGTCGCCAAAAGGGGGTCTCAGGTGTGCAGGGTGAGTCCAACACTGAAGAGGCCCTGCTCCCACAGCCCAGGGAGGGCCTGTCCTACCTGTGCTTTTCCCTTGGAGGACGGTCACCATCAAGTTCTGAGGAGGGTCTGGGGCAGAAAGACATGGTAGCCCAGAGTCACTGCTGAGGGCTGGGTGAATGCTGGAGTCTGTCCCCAGGAGCCACATGGTGGGAAGGATCAAGCCAGCCTCCTCTAGACCCTCCCCACCTGTACCCCATGTTCAACCCTGAGCCCATCCCACTGCCCTCAGGAACCTCCAGCAAAGCCCTGGATATCCCAGCCCATCTCTCACAGGACACATTGAGATGAATAGTCTTCTCTGTGGTCACACCAGCCCCAGGCAATGTCACTTGACAGGTGAGGCTGGTACCATGGTGTAGGGTCTGTGGGGTAAGAGTGAGCACAGAAGAGTGACCGGTAGTGAGGACTTGGGTGGACACCAAGGGCCCATCCCAGGTGATCTTGGGAGGTGGTCCTTGTTCACAGGCCCAGGGCGCAGAACAGGTCAGGTTGCTGGGGAGGCCAGGTTCCAAGGTTCCCAGGATGGAGATGTTGGGCACGTGTGTCAGGGCTGGGGAGGAGAGGGGGACATGCAGCATCAGGATGGAGGGGCCCCGGTGCAGCCCCGAGAGGATCTTGGGTTCTGGTCCAGCTCCTCCCCTGACCTGACAGGCTTCACCTCAACTCCTCCCATGACAGGGCCCCCAGCCAGCCTTCCCCTGTGGACCCACCACCTCCCCTGTGGGCACCCCTAGAGCCCAGGCCTTACCTGTCACATTCACTGAGAGCTGGTCAAATCTGTAACTGAATTTCATACCTCCTCTCTCCACTCGAAGAAAGTATGACCTGCTGTCATCCATTCTGGCATCTCTGATGCTCAGGGAGCAGTTGTTGGTCTTGGGGTCCCAAAGGAGATGGAATCTGTCCTGGGTCTCCTTCTGCACTGGTCGAGTTGGATGGTTCGTGGCCACTGGGGCATCCTGGTTTATGTGGGCCCCTTTCCAGAACCAGTAGACATAAACAGGGTCAGAATCTTTCCAGTCTCCCAAGGGGTAGGAGAAGGAGCAGGGCACATGGACACACAGGCCCTCCTGCACTGTCACCTCCCTCTGCACTTGTAGTGAATAACCGCCATTGAAGTCTCCATATCCCTCCACCCAGAACAGGGCCAGCAGCAGAGGCAGCAGCATGTCTGGGTGGAGGTGCCAGGACCCACTGGGGATAGTTTGTTCCTCAGAGTTCTTCTATCAGGAACGGAAGAGCTACAGGACTTCAGAGAAGGCTATACAGGAAATGGGGGGCGAGGTCAGAACTGTGACCCTCCTCAGAGGAGGAACTTCAACCCGGACACTGCCAGGGCCGGGGCAGCACTTGGCAATCAACTGTTACCACCCATGTCCACCCTGGGGAGCCTGTGGCCAGAGAGGGAGAGAGGCTCACCCAAGTTCCACCCCATGTGGGGTCAACACCCTTCCCCTTGAGTGACATTTTCTGGAAGGTGAAAATTGGTGTCCTCTGGCCAGACCCTGGAGTCTGGGGCTGTGGACCACTGTGGAGATCAGGATTGAGGCTCAGGGACAGGATGATGGGAGAAACCCACAGGGGTAACCAGAAGCTTGTCCTCCCTCCTCAGCAACCATGAGGTGGGTGTCTACTTTCTGCACCTTGAAGTCAGCACACAGGCCCAGATCCTGTCTTCGTGAAGTCACATCCACTGAAGAGACAGTAAGCCTGTTGATGCCTAAGCTCCCTATGACAGGAGATTCCTGTCATGGGCAAGGGAGGGGACATAAGGGTGGTATCAGGACTGAGTGTATGGCACTAGGCTGTGCAGATGAGGATTCTGTGAGCTAATACACACCAAGGAAACAGGCAGCCTGGGAGACTAAGGCCAGGGTTATGGTGCATTAAGGTTTGGTAAACAGCAGAGGTGAAGGGCAGATTTCGAAAAGGTTAGAAACTTCTCCTTTCCAGGAGGCATTCTGGGCATCAGGTCAGATTCTGTCACCATCATTATTTCCTGTGGCCTCCTTCCCCAGGCCTCCAGGGCTTTGTTGCTGCAGGTCTGCTCCCAGGAGTCCAGGTAAATGGGAGTCTCAGACCCAGGAACACCAGCCTCAGGCAGGTTGGGATTACATACAAGAAGGCACCTGAATTCTATGTGAGATGATTTTCAGTTGTGTTTTCTGGGGCTAGAGGATGTCAGGCGACCCTAGGAGGTGGAGCCTCCTTTGACCTGGGTCAGTTTTTCTTGAAACATTATTTCATGGAAATATAACACCTTCAGAGAAATGTGTCCACAAAAGAACAACTTGGTGATTCATGAAATGAGCACCCGCTTAGTAGCAGAGCAGCAGCAGCAGCATCCCAGGCCCCCAGATGTTCCCCCATTCTATTGACCACGTCCCACTCCCTCCTGAAGCAGCCCCTGGTTTCATTGTATTGTCCTTTGTCTTCTTGCTTGTCTGTGTATTTTTATCACACCAGCATGCTGCCTTGGACCCTATGGCTTCACACACCTTTTTCTGAAGACTTTGTATAATAGAAAATTACAGGGCTGGGCGCAGTGTCTCATGCCTATAATCCTAGCACTCAGGGAGGCTGAGTTGGGTGGATCCCTTGAGCTCAGGAGTTCCAAACCAGCCTGAGAAAGATGGAGACCCTGTCTCTACCAAAAATAGAAAAAATAAAATAACTAGCCAGGCATCATGGCAGGTTCCTGAGGTATCTGTAGTCCCAGCTACTTTGGAGGCTGAGGCAAGAGGATCACTTGAGCCCATGAATTTGAGGTTGATCTGAGCTAGACTGATGCCACAACACTCTACCCATGGTGAAAGAGTGAGACTCTGTCTCAAAAAAAAAAAAGGAAAGAAAACAAAAGGAAAGGAAAGGAAGGGAAGAGAAGAGAAGAGAAGGTC